ATGAAATGAGAATTCTAGAAATGAAGAAAACAATAACCATATTGCAAAATTCACTAGACATGTCTACCAGCAGTTTAAGATGACAGAAGAATTGGTGAAATTGAAACCAAAATCAATGAAAATTAATCCAAATTTTAAAAAAAGTTTAGAAAGTAATTTTTGAAACTTCAGAGATGTATTGGTCAATATGAAGAATACCAACACTTGTGCAATGGGAATCAAAAAGTAGAAGAGAAAAAGTACCTGAAAAAATATTTGAAGAAATTACTGCAACAACTTTTCAAAATTAATGAAATGTATTAAAGTGTAGATTAAAGGAATTCAGTAATGCCTGTTAGAATAAACACTATGAGATTCATAACTAAACATATTATAGTTAAAATGTTGAAAGGCAAAAAGAAAAACTTAATCCATCAAGAAAAAATAGGCTCGAGAGATCCAAGATGGCCAACTAGCAGCAGCTGAGGATTGCCGCTCCCAGTGAAGGCACAGGGAGTGAGTGGACACCAGACTGCCAGACGAATTTTTGTTGCCTACAGACCAGTAGATTCCCAGCGGAGGACCCCCACAGGTTGCCAGCAGACTCTTTTAGCCGGCGCGGCTGTTTTGCTGGCGTTCCAGTGCAGCAGTTCTCAGTGCGAAGCATGTGGGACTGGGTGCCCTTTTGGTTGGCGTTTGGAGCTCCAGGAAAGCAGAGTCACCCATTCAGCTGACTGAAAGGGGGACTGAGGCTGGGAGCCAGACCGGGAGATTCCCGGGCAGAAAAGCTGCACGAATCTCACTGCTGCTGTTTCAGCCCACTCGGTCGCCACAGGGGAAATTGCATAGATCCTGGCGCCTTTTTGGCACGCCACTGGGGCACCTGGGAGAGAATTGAGCATTCAATTAGGAAAATAAAAAAAGGAGGCTCCGAGGCGGGGAGCCAGGTGATCGGGCTCGGCTGGTCCCACCCCCACAAAAAAACAGCAATTGGAAATGCTGACGGTTGAGAGTTTCACAGCAAGCACAGCTGAACCCAGGAAGGTCCAGCTCTGTGGGGGGAGAGGCGTCCACCAAAGGAAAACACAGAAACAGAAATAACATCACCAGTAACAAACTGGACATCCACTCAGAGACCCAATCTGAACGTCAGCAATTACAAAGACAACAGGTGGATAAATCCACAAAGATGGGCAGAAACCAGTGCAAAAAGGCTAAAAACATCTGAAATCAGAATGCCTCTCCTCCTTCGGGGAATGGCAGCTCCTCATCATTAAGGGAACAAGGCCTGATGGAGAATGAGTGTGATGAATTGTCAGAATCAGGCTTCAGAAGGTGGATAATAAGAAACTTCTGTGAGCTAAAAGAACATGCTCTAACCCAATGCAAAGAAACTTAGAACCTTGAAAAAAGGTTTGACGAAATGCTAATGAGAATAGACAATTTAGAGAGGAATATAAGTGAATTAATGGAGCTGAAAAACACAATACAAGAACTTCGTGAAGTATGCACAAGTTTTAACAGTTGAATTGATCAAGCAGAAGAAAGGATATCAGAGGTCGAAGACCAACTCAATAAAATAAAATGAGAAGTCAAAATTAGAGAAAAAAAGGTAAAAAGGAATGAGCAAAATCTCCAAGAAATATGGGACTATGTGAAAAGACCTAATCTACATTTGATAAGTGTACCTGAATGTGACGAAGAGAATGAATCCAAGCTGGAAAATATTCTTCAGGATATTATTCAGGAAAACTTTCAAAACGTAGCAAGGCAGGACAATATTCAACTCCAGGTAATACAGAGAAGACCACGAAGATACTCCTCACGAAGAGCAACCTCAAGGCACATAATTGTCAGATTCACCAGGGTTGAAATGAAGGAGAAAATGCTAAGGACAGCCAGAGAGAAAGGTCAGGTTACCCACAAAGGGAAGCCTATCAGACTCACAGCAGATCTCTCAGCAGAAACCCTACAAGCTAGAAGAGAGTGGGGGCCAATATTCAACATCCTTAAAGAAAAGAACTTTCAACCCAGAATTTCATATCCAGCCAAACTAAACTTCATAAGTGAAGGAAAAATAAAATCTTTTGTGAACAAGCAAGTACTCAGAGATTTTGTCACCATCAGGCCTGCTTTACAAGAGCTTCTGAAAGAAGCACCACACATAGAAATAACAACCAGTATCAGCCATTCCAAAAATATACCAAAAAGTAAAGAGCATCAACATAATGAAAATCTTCATCAACCAATGGGCAAAACAGCCAGCTAGCATCAAATAGCAGTATTAAACTCACATATATTATTATTAATTCTAAATTTATATCGACTAAATGCCCAATTAAAAGACACAGGCAAATTGGATAAAAAGCCAAAACCCATCGGTATGCTGCATCCAGACCCATCTCACATGCAGGGATAGATAAAGACTCAAAACGAAGGGATGGAGGAAGATTTACCAACCAAATGGAAAGCAAAAAGTAAAAATAAAAATAAAAAGCAGGAGTTGCAATTCTCACCTCTGATAAAATAGACTTGAAAGCAACAAATATCAAAAGAGGCAAAGAAGGACATTACATCATGATAAAAGAATCAATGCAACGAGAAGAGCTAATGATCCTAAATATATACGCACCCAATACAGGAGCACAGATACATAATGCAAGTTCTTAATGACTTATAAATAGACTTAGACTCCCACACAATAATAGTGGGAGACTTTAACGTTACATTGTCAATATTAGACAGATCAACGAGACAGAAAATTAACAAGAATATCCAGGACTTGAACTCAGACCTGGAACAAGTAAACTTAATAAACATTCATAGAACTCTCCACCCCAAATTCATAAAACATACATTCTTATCAGTACCACATCAGACCTACTCTAAAAATGGCTACATAATTGGAAGTAAATCACTCCTCAGTAATTACATAGCATTTCACAGGCTTAAATGAAATACTGGTTGGCTACTTGTTTGTTATTTTCCTCACTTATTCCTTCCTGTCTCCATTGTTAAGCACAATTGTTGGCATAAAAGAGGTTTTCAATATCCATTTTTAGACTGCATTCTAGCCTGGGCAATAAAGCAAGACTCCTGTTCTCTCTCCCTCTTTCTCTTTCTTTCTTCTTTCTTTTTTCTTTCTTTTTCTTTTTTTCTCTCTTCCCCCCCCCCAAAAAAAAACATTACTTCTTTTCCTTACTGGAAAAAAATAAAAAAAGAAAAGAAAGAAAAAGTAGACTCATAAAATTTCAGGAAACAATTGTAAAGCCATTGGCTAATATTTCATTGTGACCCAGGGAGTATAGAAGATAATTAACTTTTGGGGGGAAAAAAGGCAACCAAGAATTCTATTTCCAGTGAAAATATCCTTCAACAATAAAAGAAAAGGCCAGGTATGATGGCTTACAATTCCAGCACCCTGGGAGGCAGAGGTGGGCGGATCACGACTTCAGGAGTTCGAGACCAGCCTGACCAATATGATGAAATCTCTAGTAAAAATACAAAAATTAACCAGGTGTTGTGGTGCGTGCCTGTAATCTCAGCTACTCGGGAGGCTGAGGCAAGAGAATTGCTTGAACCTGGGAGATGGAGGTTGCAGTGAGCTGAGATTACACTTTTGCACTCCAGCCTGGGCAACAGAGCGAGACTCCATCTCAAAAAAAAGAAAAGTAAAAATATTTCTTGGTAAATAAATATTAATAGATTCATGAATAGCAGATATGTCTTAGAAAATATTCAAGACGAAATTCTTTATAATTTCAGGAAATAAAAGCAGTCACACAAGCCCAAAAGTAGAATTAAAACCCCCACCCTCCCAAAAAAGCAGCAAGCAGTAAGAAAGAAGTTAGACAACAAACAAAAATGAAAGCAAACCAAAAAATTCTCTTCCTTCAATTCATGTGAATTTCCAACTTAGAAAAACCCAACCTATTGTGAGAGACACCAGAATGCCAGAATGACAGAATGCCAGTTACCTTGGTTGGAATAGTAGGAGAAATAATTAAGATGGTGCATGAGGGAAGCATCAGGAGAATTTGGAATTTTGTAGGGTTTCATCTGGAGAGTGAATATACATAAACTTTAGTCAGTTTCACTTTTCAGTTTCATGAGCTTCACTCTATGTGCTTTATCTCCATTAAAGGAAAAAAAAAGACAAAAAAGAGACAGAAACTAGACTCTTAAACTAACATTAAAAAGAATAACCAAATATTAATAAAAATCGACCTATTAAAGAGAAGTTTAAAATGTGCCTGAGAAAGTGAGAAAAAATAAAAACCTATTAGAGAAAATGAATGGAGACAATTAAATATGTCACTTCTGCCACTCAGGCAATATCAACTTTATCTTTATTAGAGGTCCTTCAAATACAGAGGATATTTTATGTCACTCTGCTCACAACAGAGCCTCTCCACCGTCCCCTTGGCTCTTTCCACCCCACTTCACCCACGGGGGATTTGCATATTGTCCCCTAGTGAGGGCCTTCCCTTGTGAGTCTGAGATAAAAGCTCAGCTCTAACCTTGCCTTGACTGATCAGAACTCCTCAGTTCACCTTCTCACAGTGAGGCTCCCTGCTCAGCTCCTGGGGCTGTTGATGTTCTGGGTCCCTGGTAAGAATAAAGGGAGATGGGAGAGGAGAAAGGGGTGGGAGGGTGAGCTCTGGGGGCCCCTCTGCCTTTCATGTGTGTTCTGTCCATGGGTTACATGTACTCGCCTTGCCTTCCAGGATGGGATATGTGATGTTTAAATCTGTGACAGTGAGAAAGATTCTAGAAGGAGCAAGGGCCTGTGCTCTGGGAAAGACTGACACAGAAAGAGGTGGATGGTATGAGAGAATTCAGTTAACTCCCTTGTGCCTCATAGATCTTGATTCTTTGTGAAATTGGATGTTTTTGGTATATAAACCAAAAATGCCCTCACAAAAATAATAATTTATCCTGAAAAATTTAACAGAAAACAAATAATGAAAATGTCTCTTAATGTTTTCTTATAACCTTCCACTTCTCTCTCATTACTTTAGGATCCAGCAGGGATGTTGTGATGACCCAGTCTCCACTTTCCCTGCTCATCACCCATGGAGACCCAGCCTCTATCTCCTACAAGTCTAGTCAGAGTCTCCTGCATAGTGATGGAAACAGCTATTTGTCTTGGTATCTGAAGAAGCCAGGCCAGTCTCCACAGCCCCTGATCTACAAAGTTTCCACTAGTGCCTCTAGGGTCCCAGACAGGTTCAGTGGCAGTGGGTCAGGCACAGATTTCATGCTAAAAATCAGCAGGGTGGAGCCTGAGGATGTTGGAGTTTATTACTGCATGCAATGTACAAAGTCATCCCACAGTGGTATAGCCCTGAGCACAAACCTCCCTGCTGGGTGGCCCAGCTGCCCACATATATTGTTTGTCTTAGGAGCAGGCACCACAGAGAGCAAGACAATAGAGAACTTACAGGGATGAGTTGCAGCAAACTGTCCCCAGGCATGCAGGGGCTACACCTCAGGCAGAACCTACAGGAGAATGGCGGGGTTTAAGTGCCCACTGAGCAACCAGACATGACAATGGAGAAAGCTGAATGAAAGTTCATTTCAATCCTCCTAGACTTTTCCTACATCTATTTTTCAATTCAAACCATTGAATGTAACGACTTTGTAAGTAATGCTGGTTCATGTCAACCTAAAACTAATATTTGTTTGGATTTTATTTTTGTTGGATAGTTAGTGGTTATAGATGTAGCTGGGTTTGTTTGGTAACATACAGACTGTTTCTCTTCTTCCCCTACCTTCACACTTCCACTTTTTCTTAGCATATGTCTCTCTCCAGCAAAGGGACAGGCATAGCATTTTATACCATAGTTTCAGGAATTATCCATGTAAGACCTATGCACATATCTGGTTTTGGGCTACTAGGTTGACTTTGTTAAATCTGTTTAAAAATAAAAGTCACGTGTCCAATGTGTTTGATCAGTCTCAGGCACAGCAGGTTGAAATAAAATGTGAGGTTTCTGAATTGCAAATCAAGGGCTTTAAAAATAAAGATTCAAGTCGGAAGAATTAGCATACTTTTTAAATGCCATGTTCAACAGAATTTTGAAAAATATTAGATAATGCATGATAATTTTTTGCCTAACACAAAACAAGAATATTAAGATTTTGGGCAGCAGCAGTGAAGAGGAGCATGAAGGACATGTGGCAGAGGTCAACTGTTGGAGCAAACCCAGCTCTGTTGCTCATGTTTGCTGGAGTCCCTATGCTGGTGGGGTTGGAGTTGAGCTACACACCCAGATGGAAACTTGTAAGTATTTCTTGGAAAGAATCACAGTGTTGAATAGACCCCTGCTTGGTCTTCAAGGCTGTGCCCTGATGCCACTGCAATCTCATAGGGAAGTTATCCCTCTTGTGGGGCTCTAGGACTTTAGTGACTCAAGGCTTACTGCAAAATTACCTTAGGTCATGTCACATCTTCCTAATCAACCCAGCAAGAATGGTCATTCAGGAGATGCCTTATATCAAAATAGTTAAGATGATAACGAGGGCTGAGCTATGGCTGGGAAGATCAGTGGGAGATTCGATGATAGGAGCCGAAGGTCCATATTTTAGACCTGCATGAAAGACATTAGTGCAGCGTTACAAGAGAAACTCAGGAGAATGTGGAAGCTTTCACTCTACGTTTCTGATCCAGCCTCCAGCCACTCTTCCTAACCCAGATCTCAACAAATGTCTCAAAATGAAAACCATCATGGAGTTAAGGGGTCAGTTCTTATCTACTCTGTTAAGGCAGCTTCAAGAACTGCCAAACTTATGTGGATTTTCCTTCCTCAGAGTCCCTCTGTTTGGTCCAAGCCGGAATCTCCACCCACACTCACACTTGGTAAGTTTTGTAAAATAAGTCAATGAAAGAAAACATCAGTTTACCTAAAATAGGCATTTCTCCCATGAAATTTTAGGTAATTTGGTTCATTTTGTCTGTAGCACTATGATGTCATTATAAACATGATTTTTAAAATATACTACTCATTCCTTTCTGCTTTTGTTGAATTGCTTTTGTTTCTCTTCCAAGAACTACTGCCTCATTCCTTTTACTTTTACATTTTAAATTAAGTTAAAATGGAGAATGCCAACTTTGTTATTATATTATTAATAGGAGAAATTCATGTTGAGAACAATCAACAAAATGCACATGATGTGATCACATCTATGTTGAAAATGAAGGAATAGAATCTGAAAAAATTATGATGACTATGTCAGAGTTAACAATGTTTGATACCAGATGTGATTTTCATATTCCAGCAGTAAATGCATAGAACTGTATACCCTAAATATGCCACATTTAAAGACTGCTCCAATAATATTTTTATACAGAACAGAGAATATAAATTATGGTATTATATATGATAGAAGTAATAAGCATTTGAATTAACAAACAAAAAATGCTATATGATATTTATGTTTTGAGATCTGTGGTTGCCTTGGCCTTGTGCACATTTCTAGAGGCAGCAGGCCAATGGTGGTTACAGCAGTGTCTAGCATCCAGTACCTGTTCTATCACTCATGCAAATGGTCTCACTTAGTCTAGCATTAGTCCAAAACAGTTGAGTATTGACCTTATTGCTCTGAGTCTAGTTTTGCAGACTATTTCATAATCTGCTTTTCAATTATTAAATATAAATTTTGAATATATACAGAGAACTGGCTTATGATATGTACAATTGAGGAACCTCAAAGACATGTTAGGATAAACATGATAGGACAAATTAAGATATTTTGTTAGTGTTATACTCCATCAACAGAAGCTGGGTTGACCTAAAATATCTCTTATAAAGTGTGGTTCCCAGGTGTGCCCTGGGGTTCCAGCTCTACTCACTGTCAGTGGACATGGGGCAGATTTCTCACCCAGAATCAACAATCTGATGCTTGAGAAAGCTGAAGATGTTAGAACACCTTAGCATGACCTTCTCCCTGATAAGTCACAGCCTTGTATAATCTACTCCCACAGAGAGCAGGCAGAATCTACGACTCACTTCTAACTCATATAGAATGGCAAGAGTGAGGAGATGTTTTTCCAATGGTTGCATTATATTATATAAGCCTCTGTCTTAGCAGACTGGAGAGAGACACTCTCTGCTGGCCTTGAGCAAGCAAACAGGCATGTGTGCATTGCTTATGGGACGATCACATGGCAGGGAATTCCCTGCAGCCTCTAGGACCTGAGAGCAGCCTTCAGCCATGATCCAATAAGTTGAAGCCCTAAGTCATAGGGATGCAGGAAAATTAATTCTGCAACAATCTGGAAGAGCTTCAAAGGGCCTGTGTTCTCAAGTGAGTCTCAGATGAGAATGCAGTCTACACTGTGGTACAGTCTTGTACAACCTATGGACATTCTTCTACATGTCGCTTGTCAATTATCACAGCACTATTTGTTGAATAGGGTGTCCTTTCTCCATGTAGGCTGTAAGTATTTGACTTTATTTCTGAGGTCTCTATTCTGTTCCATTGGTTTATGTGTCTATTTTTACACTAGCATGATGCTGTTTTGGTGACTATGGCCTTATAGTATAGTTTGAAGTTGGGTAATGTGAGACCTCAAGATTTTTTTCTTTTGGCTTAGTATTCCTTGGTTATGCAGACTTTTTAAAATTCCATATGAATTTTAGGACAGTTTATTTTCTAGTTCTGTGAAGAATGATGGTGGTACTCCTATAGGAATTGCATTAAATTTGTAGATTGCTTTTGGCGGTATGGTCATTTCACAATATTGATGCTATCCATCCATGAGCATGGGATGTATTTCCATTTGTTTGTATCATCTATGATTTATTTCAGAAGTTTCTTGTAGTTTTCCTTGTAGAGGTCTTTCACATCCTTAGGTATTTTCCCAAGTATTTTTCTTGTTTGCAGCTATCATGAAAGGGGTTGAGTCCTTGATTTCACTCTCAGGTTGATCACTATTGGTCTATAGCAAAGCTATTGGTTTGGGTACATTAATTTTATATCCCGATACTTTGCTGAATTCATTTACCAGTTCTAGGAGATTTTGGGATCATCTCTCACCTTATACAAAAATCAACTGAAGGTGGATCAAAGACTTAAATCTAAGACCTGAAATAATAAACATTAAAGAAGACAACACTGAAAAACCCTTCTAAACATTGGCTTGGACAAAGACTTCATGACCAAAAACCCCAAAGCAAATTCAACAAAAACAAAGATAAATAGATGGGACTTAATTAAACTAAAACGCTTCTGCACAGCAAAAGAAATAATCAGCATAATTAATGGACAACCCACAAAATGGGAGAAAATCTTTATGATCTATACATCTGACAAAGGACTAATATCCAGAATCTACAATGAACTCAAACAAATCAGCAAGAAAAAACAAACAATCCCATTAGCAAGTGGGCTAAGGATATGAATAGACAATTCTCAAAAGAAGATACACGAACGGCCAACAAACATATGGAAAAATATTCAACATCACTAATTATCAGGGAAATGCACATAAAAAGTACAATGCAATATCACCTCACTACTGCAAGAATGGACATAAAAAAATAAAAAACTAACAGATGTTGGCGTGGATGCAGTGAAAAGGGAATGCTTTTACACTGTGGTGGGAATGTAAACTAGTAAAACTACTGTTGAAAACAGTGTGGTGATTCCACAGTGAACTAAAAGTAGACCTATTATTTGATCCAGCAATCCCACTCCTAAGTATCTACCCAGAGGAAAAGAAGTCATTATACAAAAAAGATACTTGCACATGCATGTTTACAGCAGCACAATTTGCAATTGCAAAAATGTGAAACCAGCTCAAGTGCCCATTAATCAAGGAGTGGATAAAGAAACTGTGTTACATATATACTGTAGAATACTACTTAGCCATAAAAAGGAATGAAATAATGGCATTTGCCGTTGGATGGTGAATTCTACCCAACTTGGATGGAATTGGAGGCTATTATTCTAAGTGAAATAACTCAAGAATGGAAAACCAAACATCATATGTTCTCACTGACATGTGGGAGCTAAGCTATGAGAACACAAAGGTGTAAGAATGATACATTGGATTTTGGGGACTCAGGTGAATGGGAAGGGGCTGGCAAGAGATAAAAGATCACATACTGGGTACAAAGTACATGTGTTATGGGGGTAGATCTCTCATGAATTACTTGGTGCCCTTCCCAAGGTAATGAAGGAGTTCTCACTATATTAGGTCACTCTAGAGCTGGTTGTTTAAAAGAACCTGGCACCTCTTCCTTGCTCTCTTGCTCTCTCTCTCACCATGTGATGCTCCTGCTCCCCTTCCTTTTCTTCAATGATTAGAAGCTTCCAGAGGCCCCACCAGAAGTTGAACAGATGCTGGTGCCTTGTTAGCACAGCTTGCACAACCATGAGCCAAATAAACCTCTTTTCTTTATAAATTGCTTAGTTTCAAGTATTCCTTTATGCTAATTCAAAATGGACTAATACAGACATGCACATATATATGCATTTGTACATATATATATAAACAAAGGTGTGGTGTGTACAACTAAAAGCATAACATCAATAATCTCAACTTTCACCTCATGAAACTACAGAAACGGGGGATTTAAATCAAGTGGTTTAAAATCTGAAGAAAATAAATAATAAACATTAGAGAGGAAATCAATAAAATTAAAAACAGAAAAGCAATAGTGAACACCAAGCAAACAAAAAGCTAGTTGTTTGGAAAAAACTATATTGTTTATCTTTCAAGTGTTTGGAAATTCTCCAATTATATTTTCAATATTGATTTCTAGCTCAATTCCTCTGAGGTTAAAGAACACACACATGATATTTTAATTATTTTAAACATGTTGAAGTGTTTTGTGTGCAGGGTACAGCCTAGCTTGATACAAGTTCTGCGGGCACTTTAAAAAATTTGAATTCCCCTATTGTTGTTCGGAGTATTCTATAATTGTCAGTTTGATTCTGCGGGTTGATGGCGTTGTTGAGTGCTTCTTTATCCTTGCCAATTTTTGTCTAGTTGGAGGACTGAAGTCTCCAAGTGTAATTTTTCTTTGTTTTTTTCCACACGCATATTGTTGCTCTGTTGTTTGCTGCATACAAATTTAGAGTTGCTTTGTTTTATTATAGAACTCTTTTTTTTCATGTAATATTTCTTTCTGTCCTTGGTAATTGTCTTTGGATCTGTAATCTACATGATCTGATATTGATATTAATGACTTCTGATTTCTTTTTATTAATGTTACTAAAGCATGTATTTTTTCTTTCTTTTATATCCAACTTACTTGTACTGTTATATTTGATGTAACTGTCTTACAGACAACATATAATTGAGACTTTTCTTATAGATTCACCAATCTCTGTCTCTTTTCAAATTTCATAATGTATGTATTTAATGTTATTAATATTTTAAGTCTGCATTCTGGGCTTTTTTTCTGACTAATCATTTCTGTTTAGGTTTTCTTATTTTTATTTCTAAAATTTCCATTTTCCTTGGTTATATTTTGTATTTTCTTCCTGATGCTTTCTATTATTTCATTTTTTTCATGCATTTTTTTTGAAATGCATTATTCCATGATGCATTTTTATAATGGCTGCTTTAAATTCCTTTCAAGATAATTTTTACATACCTATTATATAGAGCTTACTATTTACTGATTGACTTTTCTCATTCAAGTTGATATTTTCCAAGTTTGGGGTATGAAAGTGCTTTTTGATTGATATCTGTACATTTTGGATATTGTGTTATGATGCCATCCCGAAATTTCACAAGTCTAAAAGGCTCACTGTTTATATCACTGCCTTGGCTGCTGGACTGCAGAGAGGCAGAGATTTAATCAGATAAACTATTTGCTCTTTTACCTCTACCTGCAAATATTCTAGAGTAATTGTATGCCTGTAGCTGCCCGAATTTCAATCAAATATTTTTAATCAACTGAACTAGGGTAAGAGCAGGCAGCAATAATTTTAATTCGGTAATGGTTACTTTGAAAATGGTGATTTGTATTTTCCAGATCTGAAACCAAAAATGAGC